AAATGAAAAAAAAATTAGTAGACATGAACACTTATATCTTTTCAGAGAACAAACGTAAATCTGATGACAATTTGGAAAATTCCACAGCTAAGACTAAAAGAATGGAAACAAAGTTGCGTTGCACAGACTTGATCGTACTTGGTTTACCATGGAAAACTACCGAGCAGAATTTACGAGAGTATTTTGAAACATTTGGAGAAGTACTCATGGCTCAGGTGAGTCTACTGTTTTCAATTATAAAGAAATCGTTTTTTTTTGTTTTCTGTTTTATCAAATGTATTATTAACTACCCATAAATGTTGGTGTAGGTAAAGAAAGATGCGAAATCTGGACAGAGCAAGGGATTTGGATTTATTAGATTTGGAAGTTATGAGTCCCAATTGAGATGTCTCGCTCAGCGACATATGATAGACGGTAGATGGTGCGACGTCAAGGTTCCCAACAGTAAGGTAAGAGCATCAATATGTTCAATATCAAAAATTCATTGTTTCCTCAGAAATGTACAAGTAGTTCAAAAGTGTTTAAGTAATTAATTAATTATTTAATATCGAGATACATATATATATGTCTATATATATATATATATATATATTCTCAACATTTATATGCAAGTTATAGACCTGTACATAACTTCTCATGCATCGTTAAAATGCATTGTCCAAGCAATTTTGACTATTTATATATTTTTAGCAAACCATTGCATACTTTTATACATTACTTTTAAGAAACTATTATGAATTTCCTATTATCTTGGGTAAATTAAATGAGTATAATCAAATTATCGATAATATATAATATGTAAAAAGGTGTTCTACATATTTCAAAGACTGTGAACAATTAGTTTACTCAATTTAATGCTGCCGGTAGAGTAAAGAAGAAATTGTTTTTACCGAATAATTGAATTTTCTATTTAAGGAATGTTACTTCCATAAATGATACATAGTTATATACAGGTTTAAGATGCATGCAATAGGAGACTAGTTGAACTATAAAACGATAGTGCGAATTATAAGGAAGAAAAGAACAATTGAGAAGTGTGACTATGGCACAAACGTGAATAATACTTTGCTTTAGAAATTCTTTTTCTATTTTGAATCATTGCACAAGACGAGACGACAATTAATTTCCGCTTATAATCTCTAAACATCATTAAATATTTCTTGAGAACGTACATTGTGGTATAAATAGATGAATGTGTAGTCGCTTTAAGTGGTAAATTTATAAAGGACGAGTGATAAATGTGCGTGAATGTTTTATATGAGTGTTGTATGATGAAAAGGAAGGTATCTCAAAGAAAGTGTGTCTGCGTGATCTTGTAAATAACATGGTATGTTTGGTGTCATTAAATTGTGTGGAATTTTTCAAAGTATGCTACGAGAGTTACCACTGTCAGAACCTTAAAATAGATACGAATGGACTTTACGAATACATACCCAGTTTCACGTGGAGGCTTAAACGACAACTCTGACCAAATAGAGAAAGGTGTTCGATAGGATTTTCGGGTCTCGGTCGCATGCGAGTTTTCATAGAAAATTTAATGTAATACAAATCCAACTGTTAGCTTGCTAGAGATGCCCAGCCGTGTGGTGGTCGCGCTATTAACTCTGAAATAATTAGGCAAATATCTCAATTTTTTCCATTATCAAAACAGAAAAGAAAAAGAAAAAAAAATAGAAAAAAAAGAGAAGTATGTAACTGAACTAATGGGAGTGAGTTTCGAGCCCGGCAAGTATTCGAAATATGTATATTTCTAATCCCGAGGCGACGAGCATTGTAATGGGTATGGTTTGCGTGACGGTGTGTGCAATTTGAAGGAAGGAAGTAAGGAAGAAAGAAACATTTCATTCAATTGCGGTGTGCAAAACAGTTACGTATATTGTCACAGTTGAAGCGTTTGAAGTTCTGAATTTTGCGAACGGAACGGGTATACATATATATACATATATATATATATATATATATATATATATATATATACATACATATATATACATATATATACATATATATATATATACATACATATACATATATATATATATATATACACACAATTCGCGGTTGGAGTTTCGCACAGTAATTAGACCCGCCCGACCGGTTAGAGAGGAGACACGAGAGTAAGACGAGAGTAGAATCATTCGCTAGCAGTGAGAGTCGGTTCCACAAACGTTTGTCACGTATTGTCAAGTATGAGACGAGATATATAGTGCACGGGTCCGTGAATGAATAAAGATGCATCGTGTTTCGGTCAGATAATCGGTGCAGATTAGAATATATACGTTCACTTCAGGAAGGGAGGAAGGATATGATACTGAGATACACTTGGTATAATAACATTGATCGCCTTGCTGGTCCGTGTTATTCACCGAGATTCGAAACGATTGTAAAAGCCTGTGTGTGACACGTCAAGGGTTCTATACTGTAAAGGTAATCATTTGATCATGCACCGAAGGTTTTCACAGATCCAAGAGTCAATTCCCCTTGCCTTTCCATGTTACTCTATATATACATGTATACATATATATCATCGAATATAGAATAGTATCAAAGAAACAGGAACAACCTCAGCGACACCTCTGAAAACCTCCCATGCACAACAAATTCTCACCGTTGCATTATAAACCCTTCTGCGCCACATGACTTTTACAGTGGAACCCCCCTCCTCCGTTCGCATCTCCAAGAATACCAATGACAACGAAGAAGGCTATCAATGCTATTATCCCATTTTGCAATACGTTACACGTGTCTGGTATGTGAAATGATATGGCACAAGCAGAAAGTCTCAACTGAAAGGAGAAGTGTCCTGAGGAGAGAAGAGAAAACGTATGTCTACGGGTGTGCGAGAGTGGCGTATATGTGTGTATATCAAAACAATCAACTGATTATAGATAAAAATTGTATGTGATTGTCGAGGGCTGGTGTATCTGGTTGCAGAATATTGATGGCTTAATGATGGCTCGTCAGTATGATACGAGCAAGCACAATGAATGCTACCGGCCTATACCGGTTCATACGCCGAATAGTCGACGGGTACCAGTGGCGAAACCGTATATCAACTTAAATGCATCCGAGCCGGCTAACCCGCCTAGGTATGATTCGGAGTACGATTATAAAACGACCCATTACCCGTCGTACCCGGCCAACTATCCGTACGACGATAACAATAAGTACAAGTACGAGGGGCAGAATTACAACGCGTACGAGAAACCAAGTTACCCGTCGTACGAGGACCCCGGGTACGACACACGGAATTACATGGTGCAGCAGCAGCAGCAGCAGCAGCAGCAGCAGCAGCAACAACAACAGCAGCAGCAGCAGCAGCAGCAGCAACAACAGCAGCAGCAACAACAGCAGCAGCAGCAGCAACAGCAGCAGCCGCAACAACAGCAGCCGCAGCACGCTGCAGCTGGCGCGCCTGCGAATCCGCCCCCTAGTTACCCCACCGACGCTGAATACCCAAGATACCCGAATTACGAGGGACGCGCCGCCGTCTATCCAGTCATGGAGAACCCAGACTACACGGAGAAGACTAGGTACAATTACGGTTACGACCGTAACTATTACGAAGGGGATGGCCGGTACGCGTCCGCAGACTGCCGGTACCCGTTGGACCTCCGGTACGCAGACACAAGGCACGGGGATAATCGAATACCGAATGACGGTAGAGAGGCTGATTGTAGATACCCTGTGGACAACCGCGAAGCGGAGAGAAGATACGCGGTCGTCGATGGTAGAGAACCGGACGGTAGATACGCGGTTGATAATAGAGAAGTGGAAGCCAGGTACCCACCGGACGGCAAGGAAGTGGAGGCCAGGTTCGTGGACACAGCAAGATACCCAGCTAAGGAGAACTACTACGATCGTTATTACAAGCACCGTCCGTCGAGGGATCATCACGTCTCGGACACGTCAAGATACTGATGAGTCTTGTTACTATCCGTAAATAAACGAGTCACGACGCGATGGGAATAGACGTCGGCTATTATCGCGCGCCGGTGATTCGGGGATCAGACTTTGGTCGAACCGGTCTCGGGAGCGTGCGGCAATTCTCTATGTACCGGCGTGTCGAGCGGAGGTAGATTTTACCGAGGACGCTTCGGTGGCGCGTGTCGAGGCACCGATGACGATTATTTCCAAGTTGACACGTTAAGCGCCGTTGTCTGTCAACGATGACCGACGACTCTGAATGACTTGAAAGCAACGCTAACACGCTAGATAATTTATGCAAGACGAATATTGTCCGATATAGGTGTAACTTGATAAATATTGTAACGCGAGGAGATTGTAACTCGTGGGAAACGATGAATAACTGTTTCTGCTTCTTCTTCTTCTTCTTCTCTCTGGTACCGTGTGAAATTGCTCGTGATTCAACTCGTGGTTTATTTAGGAAAGGAATGCGGAGATTTGGAGCATAGTCGAGCGTTGGCTCGTCGCGGGTGTCTTGTTTGCACGCTGGTTCGTAGAAATTGTATCGCGCTCTCTTGGACCGAGAACGGGATAGCCCTTGACAATTGACATTGATGGAATCGTGTTTGTCTCTTCTCGAGATCGTTTCCTCTTTTTTTTCGTCGGATCGAGACGGGGTAGAAAGTGTATTCCCATTGACTCGTGATTTTTGTTAATAAAAATCATAGCATACATATATGCCAATATAAAAAGAGAAAAAAAAAGAAAGCAAGTAACGTAATGTCTGATATTAGAAATAGCCTCGAATAACTGTCTACATCTTTCATCAATTACATGTGCTTATATCCAATACTAAGATAATGTAATATAATATATAGCATGAGATTTTACATCGAATATAAAAAGAGAACACGGACACTGTATAGACTTTTGTGCATGGATTTCAAGAGGCCATAGTGCTTAAGTGTTGTTTTATATATATGTATGTATGTATATACATATGTATATGTATACACGCATGTACATATACGGGGTCGCAGATTCTCGCATATATACCTGCGTGTGTTGGTGTGTGTGTGTGTGTACATATATACAATGTGTATATTCCACTGGAATCAACTTGTAAATTTGACCAGCCGAGAAACCATTATTTTTCCGAGATCGAATAACTTAGACCATTTGCGTATCCAAGAATTTTCTATAAAACTTGACATTAGTGCAGCTTACAGTTTCACAAATATTCCCTCGTTGAAAGAAACCTAAAACAAAAACAAAAAGAACAGAAAGAAAACAATAGAATTTTCTCGAGCCATCGACTGAACGATGATGAGTCGCGTTAACGATGTACCCGTTGACCAGGGGATTTTTCAACTGCAGACATGTACCGGGTGACGAGTAGAAAATTGTTCGAACCGACTCGTTTCGTAACACAGACAGACAGACCAATATAATTTCCACCGCGGATCATTACGACACTTCTCATTGAACGATACGTCTCGCGCGGGAGACGAGGAAGAACTAAAAATAAATAAAATACACGCAGTTGAAAGTCCCGATCGGGGTTCCCCTGGTCAACCGGTCGACCGAGAAGACCGGCATCCTTTTTCCTAACGAATCGGACCGGTGGCAAGCCGCGACGCGTACACACCTCATGCAGTACAGAGAAAGCATGCACTATACGCAAGTTTTACCAGACGAAAAGCCAACAGAGAAAAGAAACAG